CCGGGTGGCTATGATCAGCCCGCTCGAAAAAGTGGCGTTGATCACTAGGCCCGGGCGGAAAGCGTGGCCTAGGCAGGCGCGCTTGGGGGGACTGACTGTGCGTCGTGGGTGGCCCTGAAAAGGACCGTTTAAATTTCCACCGAGTATACGGGCTGATGCGTGGTTCTTTGACGCACTCCGGGTTGGTTGGTGGACTTGAGGATAGTCGTCGGCTCCTTGGACGATGGTTGGTAGCCAAGAGTTCGTATCGCTGCTTCGTATCGGGTCAGCCCCGCTCCACTGTCTTGATCCGTCGGCGTTGTCGGCGGCTGTCGTCGTCCGGTCTGGACTGAACCGGTCGAGCTTGGGGCAGTCTTCACTAGCGGTGTCCGGTTGTGGCGGTCGCGGCGTTCCTCTTCGGTGTCGGTCGTTCTCCTCTTATCCTTCAATAGACGGCAGAGTGTGTTGGTTTCTGAAGTCTTGATGTTTTGAAGGTTGAAAGAGTACTGTTGCTCGGTCGGTAAAATGTACCCGTATATATACGCGTTGACCGTTCCGAGCGCTATCTTCATTGGTGGTTGTCTTTGGTTTGACGGATGAATGTGACATCGATCTTATGGACTGTTCGGTATCATCGATGTCATTTTCACTCGGCATTTTTGTAATTTTTGTTATTGTTGAAATTACTTTACTTTGCCATAGTGTAGTATTTGGTGGCCGTGAAAACGGCCGTTTTATGTGTTGTGGTTTGTACCGTATCAGTTATAATGGAATTTATGTGGACATTTGTTTTGTGCACATAACCAATTAAATTGTTTTCAGCTAATTATTTTCGACGGCGCCGAGGCCATTGTGCGTCGGCATAGGCATTATAATTTATTTTTACTCTCATTCGTTTATTATATTCCGATTATCAGCTGATAATGTTAGTCGATCATTATCGGAAATTCAAAACAACAATCGTGTTTCTGTTTAAAAATATAAACAAAATAAAAGCTAATTGGTGAATCACTACAATTTGTAAAAAAATATTTAATAAAATTTATAATATATAGGTATATATATATAATATTGGTTCTATTTGTTTTGGATGTGGACTACTTTATTAAAAGTCCACGAGCTGCCACTGCCGGCATCTATGGCCATTAGCTATTGTAGGCGGTTACGGTTGGTACTGTTGGTGGGCATCATGTGCATGTGTGGCAAGGATTTTGTCACTAAGGACTAATGTGGTCACCTATCCGGGAACTAGTTGCATCAGGCGATTCATACTCACTTTGCATACTGATTGCAGCCACGAAAAGCCACTGTTTTATTATTTTTTTTTTGATGCATTAATTATAATAGTGTAATAATTATATATAACTCATATTATCCTATATTACCTATAAATAAGTTTAGTACAAATTAAAGATACTAACTTCTCGGAAGCCAAGGGTATTTTTGCCATCATTGAGTCTAATGGGAATTCAGCCATATGACGTCTTAATTTCGTTAATAATTTACCCTTGTAATTCAATGCTACCAATGCATTAAGTTTTTCTAATTCAAGCACCTTTAAAAATAGGGATTTAAAAAAAAAATTTAGATTTTATAAATTAAATTAACTTACTAAGGTTTTGCTCGGTGGAGGATCTAAAAAATCAAAATGTATTAAATCATCAATACAAAGATCCTTTAACATCAACACAGCATTGCCCAAATTAATTCTTTCAATTTCTGGAACTGTATTGTCTTCAAGTTCACTTTTGTAAGCCCGTGATGTATATAAGCGAAAGCATTTACCAGCAACTACTCAACCAGATCTTTCAGCTCTTTGATTAGCACTAAAGTATTAACATTAATAAAAAATAGTATAAATGTAAATCCATCTTTACAAATAACCTACCTTTGATATTGGTACAACTATTAAAGATTCCATGCCACTGTACGCCAGTATAGTATGTGAATTGAAATTATTTTGTTTACAAAAACCTGGGTCAATAACATAAATAATATTGTCAATTGTTAGAAAAGTTTCAGTTATATTTGTGGCTGAAACAAAATAAAATATAATTTATAATATTATTATTTTTGATTAAATTTATTACTAAGAAATAAAAATTAAGAATTACTTTTCTAGCGCTGAGAGGTGTAGGCTCAACAATTTTGGCTTGCATCTCAGTAGGTAAATTACTATAAACTTTTAATAAAATCAGTTCATTGATTTGAGAACCAAGTCTACGAACACGCTCTTGCAGTAGTTCGTTACAAGTTTCAATTTCATCTTGGCCAGTTAAAAAGACTAGTATATTTCCGAGGGGCTGTGTTACATGTATCTGTAATATAGATACAACACAGGCATTAATATAATCTGCGTCGGGCGCTTTTGTGTAGTATATATCCACAGGTGTATTCTTATAACAGACATACAAAAATAGATTTAGTATTTACACTATGAAATATAAAATTTAAACAATGTTTACCAGGTATTCTCAATATAGGTGCTTCATCAAAAATTCAGATAACTTCTTTGAAACTAAAGTTGCTGATGATACTAGTAATTTCAATTCTGGCCTGCGTCATATAACATCTTTTACTAAACCAAATAAAATATCGGTATTAAAGATAAGTTCTTGAGCTTCATCTACAATAATCACACTGTAAAACTGTAAATCTGGTTCAGACAAAAACTCTCTATACAATGTTTCATCAGTCATGTATTTGATTATAGTACGCTCTGAAGTGCCATTTTCAAAACGTATACTGTAACCAACCTGGAATTGCTATCAAGTGTCAAAATATTAATATGAATTTCTTTTTAAAATATAATAAACAGATTGTTTACTTCATTTCCAGGTTTAACAGACATCTCCTTCAATATTCATCGTCTATGATATTTGCTTCAAGTTTAGTAATCTTGTCATCTATTCTTTTTTCGATATATTTACGAAGAGACTCAATACGCAGTCGAGGAATGACCATTTCTTCTCACGTTCATTTTTTTATTTTAATCGTTTTGCTGCTTCTTCGTAGGCTTTCTTATCTAACAAATTAATCAATGAATTATATATTTTTTCCTTAACCATGATATTAATCTAGTAAATAGGTTATTGTATTATTATATGTAAATTATACATTGGGTTAGATCGAAAATTATTTGTATACATATACAGAATACATACGATTATTTTAAGCTTTCATTAAATGTATTATATTCTATTACAATAATTTATTTAAAATTAATGGTGTGTATTTTAGATTCTGAGCTTAGCGAATGAAGGTTTATCTTCATTCTTTACCAACATTATTCTGTATTCAAATAAATAAAAATGCAAGTTTTCATTTTAAACATAGATGTTAGGTTATGTATATAGAGTATTTAAGATTTTATAAAATATAAAAATCAATTAATGTACCTTCAAATATCCACTATGGTAAATTAATAATCGTAATATGAGTGAAAATATTTTAATTGAACATTGATTTAAAAGTTCCCATACATAATTATCTTAATATTCCAAAATAACATTCTGAATTGTTCCCGCGACCCAAAATATACAAAATTTTTCATAATTCTATTTCAATTTTTTTTTTTTTTTGTCATGCCCTCATCAAAAGTTTTATTTTAAATACCGGTTGAACTTTTGGTAAATTACCTATTTACATTTATCGGAGAGTAAATGTTTATTTTACGACATGCAGGTAGTAAAGTGAAAATTCTGCTAACCAGCGGGCAGAAGACTGAAATATTTAATACCCAGATTGCCACTCAGTATACTATTAAAATGTATTAAATATTGGATAAATAAACCTATGATACCTAAATCACGAGATAAATCATGAACTTTGTATTTTGTTTAGGTAATAGTTTTATTTGTGTAATTGACATATGGACTTTTAATAAAATTTTAATATTATTCATAAGACTTACCAGATCCAGGAATTGCCATATTTCTGTTTATTTTAACTTGTCTAATAATATATTATAATTGTATATTATATTTATTTATATTTTATCTAATTATAAATTAAATAATGGGTTTGTGTTTTCTGCTTTTAATGATGCTATTTTGGCAAAATTGTACCTAAATATTTACCTGTATTAGATTCTTGCGAAACGTCATAAATTAGGAAACCTTTAATGTCTCTTACTCTGAAACTAAGTGAGATAAACTATTTCTGACTTCACTAAAAACTTTTTCATCTGGAACTGTATGTAGTAAAAAAAAAAATATTAAAAATATTGATTGTAAACAAGTTTTCAAAGAAATTTTGGATGCATTTTGAAAATGCTATTTTTCATTGTTTACGTGCAAAAACTTCAAAAGTAAGTACGCTAGGTAAGTTCTTATCACACCAATGTATTGTGAGCCAAAAACCACACATTTTGATAAAAAAATTAATTCTAAGCATTTTTTTGAAACAATTTGCATTTTGAAAAAATCTACTTTTTGAAGTTTTTTACCGATAACTTCAATACTAAGTCCGTCTGACCTTTTTTTTTTACATTCTTATTAAGAACCCCAAGACACACATTATGGAAAAAAAAACTTTAAAAATCGATAGGTTGCTAAACTAGAATTGTTCCAAAATTTTTTTTAATAATTATACCAATATGTTCGTTTATACTATTATTGATACTCAGTATTATTTAAGATATTTCACTTTTCGCAGTATGACCACTCACAAGATATATTGTTTTTACAATAAAATTAATCACTAGTTAGTTGGCACATCAATAAATTTCACTTGATAAACAGTGCATTTTTTTTACCGGCGTTTTAACCCGTGGCTTAAATTAATTGAAGGTTAACTAACAACTGACCTGAATCATAAGATATCACAGTTCCCAATTTACCATAACAATTGAAAAACCGGTCCTAAATCTAGTATTATAATTTATAATTTATCCGAGGTTTTTGCCAACGATGGAAAAAACAGCGACGTGGCTGAAATAACCATGGAGATATTTTTTGTTTTAATAATATTATTTAAAAATAAAACAATTAAAATATATTTAATATTACATATTTTACTTACTACACACTCATAAGACGACTCGTCGTGTTTATATATTGTTTTTTTTTTATCGATTCGGCACAGTATTTGTTTTGGCAACATGACGTGTTATGGTCGACGGCGGCGATGTGGACAATATCTGGACGAATTGTAATATCAGATTTTCGGAAGATTCTTGATCGGCCGGCGGACTGTTCAACCCCAACCATATTCAGTCCTCCCGGGACACGGAGTCGTTGTTGAATCTGCCATCGCTGCAATTGTGTCGTCTTCGATTTTGCGTGTGGCGGTGGCCGTGAAACTACTCGACCGCCCAGCGAGAGAACTCCGAACCGGTCAATAACTGATGCAGCCCCCTGCTGGAACCTTCGAGACTCCAGAAACTCGTTTGATGACGCCATGGTTAACCCCTGTACAAAGCGTACAAAACATATTATTATGGTTATTTTATATAATATGTAATATGCAGGACATATTACTAATATATGTAATATTTTATATGTACGTATGCGTAGAACGTAGTTATACAAAATATTATATTGTATGTTTACTAAAGTTAAGGAAAAAATATACCTTTTTATTTTGGCACAAAACGAATTAGTTTATTTTGGCGTAAATGGGTAGGTATATCCCTCATCACTAATGAATACCTGTGTATGAGCGCATTTAAACTCCTCAACGAGTACCTTTTTTTAGCGTAACTTTAGCCCGGAAAATAAAACAGATAAAATTGGGTTTATGTATTATACTCCACCAGTAAAAAAAATCAGGTAACATTTAGTGCATGTAAACTCTGCCAGTAAAGAAAATCAAGTATACGGAGTACAATTAATATAATATGCCAATTATTATTAAACGAAAAATCATAATTTTATAATACTTATCATTCTTATAATAATAGTTAGGTATGCAAAAAATATATAAAACTTAAAAATAAAAATTATAATATTGTCCGAACAAATCATATAAATTGTAATGGTCAATATTATGTTAAAAAATCAGGATGGATAAATTGTACTAATCAAAAATATATACGTTTGTTATACTATGACATACTGTGTTATAAGTATATAACATTAATATTTTAACCCGGGAACTAAAATTATGAGATACAATTTGTAGATATTCTAATTATTAAGTCAGGCACGTAACATTTTTCTATAAGGGCCCAAAATTTTACTCCAGGGGTTAAACATCGCTCCAAAAAAATATTTACTGATATCATTACGATTTTGAGATCAGAGATTGTATTTTTTTTTATATTATTCTTATTAACATTACTAATTAGTAATTTTTTCAAACATTACGAACATCAAGAGTTTGCCTCCAAGATGTATGTCATGAAAAATATTGTTTTCAAAAACACAAAAACACATAACGGAAAAGTTATCCAAAATTAATTATTATTAACTAATAAAGAAATAACTACAATAATTAGTAAATATAAAATGTAGGTAAATATGATTTTTGTAGATAATATTTATCGAAAGTATGTATAATTATTGTACTTACCTTTCTAGGTTCTTGAAATACCTTATTAAAGCTCTCTTCATTATTTATTGGTTCTTACACTTGTGTCTTGGGAACAATATAGGAACTGTATACAGTGTCGGCCTGGCACACATGGATTAGTTTTTAGGGTCCCCATAATGAAATACAAAATTTACTTGACATTTTGGTGAAAAGATGCTCACCAAATTTTTTCCTTTAAATATAATTTTATTCAAATTCTGATTTTTAGAATTTTTAAGAATACCTAAAGAAGTAAAGACCATTTTAAAATTCCTGATATTTTTTGTACTACTATTAAAAAGTGTCCTGTGGCTATACAAACTTCTATTTTTCAAATGAGAATTTCCATTTTTACTGCATATTGTTTAGGAGATGATGTTTTTGTAAATGTAGATGTATCTAAATCAAAATTCTAATAAGTAGTTGCTGAATTATTAAAATGTGCATACTAAGGATAATAATCCTTAAAATATGGTTTACAATAAAAAACTATAAGTACCTACTTATTCACTCATATCAGTATAGGTACCTACTTAATCATTTTTATAAATTATTTATCTTGATAAATCAATGGTAGTTACTAATTTGTACTAACAACTAACTACTAACATTTTCAAATAATCGAAGCCCCCAAATCTACTTAGCTAATTTCCATATATACCTATTATCCTTAGTACACAAAGTTAGACCTATAACTCAAAAACTACTAGTTCGAATTTTGATTTAGATACATCAAAGATCTAAAAAAAAAATATCTGCTGAATAATAAAAGTAAAAAAAGAGGACTTCTATTTGAAAAACAGAAGTTTGTATTGTAACAACTAACAACATCATCCTTAAATGGTATAAAAAATTATTTGAAAATCTTATATTTAAAAGTTCTAAAAATCAGAATTTGTATAATTATATACAGTATACACGCACATATGTACAATTGAAGTAAAAAAATAAAGTGAGCATGCTTAAAAAATCACCCTGTATAATATTAAGCCTGACGAGGGGAATCATTCGTTTAATAATTAACTATAAATTATAGTCTATAATATTGACATTTTTGAAATATTTGAAACTACAAAAAAATATATTATTATTATTAATTCAACAAAAACGAAATTACAAAAAACAAAATTATGTTTATATTACCCATAGAATTTTAACTTTGAAGACAATTAATCCATAAGCATAATATCATTCAAGTAAACTTTCATAGGTAAATCGTAAATGTCCAATCTTCATAATTGTTTTATATGTATATTTATAGGTATAAGTAAACTTATAGCATTATAAATAATACATATTTTTGTATGCAATATTTTCATGATCACTGAATCCAACAGCAGGGTAGGATACTCGGATGATTACGATTCTCATGGCCTAGTCTGAGCCCATTGATTTTAAGGAGGTATATAAAACCTAACTTAATTTGCAGTATCGCAATTAATCCAAAAAACTTCCTATACTTATTGACACTTATTGTACTATTATAGTGCCCTGCTATCACTATAATAGGCAAGCATCTATGCCCTGTAATGAAAAAATATCGATACCTAAATACTTTACGGGGTCCTTACTCCCTATATAGACGAGGCCCATGCCAAGCAAATAAAATAATGTACTAGACCCTAAAAATAAAACAGAGGGGCCCCGGCTGCGTTCGTGGCCTAGCGGCCATGGCCAGGCCGACACTGACTGTATATACAATAGACTATAATCTGGTAAAAATATGAACTTCAAAAAATCATAAAAATGTAATTAGATTTGCTTAAAGACATTTTTTTTGATAAAAGTAGACGAATGTATGAGGAATCTTGTATTACATATTAGACTCTGAGCGGAGCGAGGAACCTAGTGATTTTACAATAGTGTTTATTTTTTATTTTTTTATATCCTGTATACAAAATTTCTACCAGTAGAAGTGCTTCAATTTCAACATATAGTACCTTATCTTTTAGAAAATTGGATCAATACCTTAGGAAGTTCATTTTTCGATTTTACAAATAGTTATTTAATGCCACGGGAAAAACCACCAAAAAATTACAAAAAACCACTAAAAATGGGATTTTAATTTCTAACGCTTTGTTTATCACCATAGAAACGAATTAAATATAATAATATTATAATATTATTCAACTTACATGATATAATAATTAATAATAACAATATTATAAAATATCTATATAGAAGTCTAGACTGACAAACTGTCTCCGCACAGACTGTTGAAGGAAATCTAAGCACTTTTACTGTCCTGAAAGGCGGGACGCAAAAAAAACAACACATCATTGTAAAATCAATACATTCATGGCTTCTCTCAGAATCTAAAATCAAATAGAAATTCATATGGTGGCTCCCGTATGAGCCCATTTTACATATTATTATATTAGAATTAATCATAATACGTATTCCATGTATTTAGTTCAGTGGTCATACCACATACTTTTGTATTGTTGAGCTTCCACCAAAATGGGCTAGATGGCGCCAGTCTGTTGTTCCACATCTATTTCGGCGACTCAGCGCTGGGTTCAAATCTATGTGATTCAAAATTAAAATAACGTATTTTTGCACAAGCGATTTTCAAATAATATTTGGCATCAAAAAATCCAAAAACTTTTAAATTTTATCAATTTATTAATATGAATTGCAAAAATAAATCCTTTTAAGTACTCAAAATATTATATAACTTTAAAACTCCTAGTTTGGAAACAAAAGGCTCTAACTGATTTCTTCTAACTTTTTGTTCCCAATTTTCTTTTTTAAAAATAAAACGCTCTATCGATAGAACATGTTGATTCCAAATTAATTGATTTATACAAACATGTGTGGTACTAACCTAGATAAAATAAATAAAGTAAATATTTAATAGTTGTATTTTGGATACAATATATTTACTAATCTGAAATCTCAGGGCTTGAAAAGCTAACTATTTTTTTTAACTTGTAAAGTTAAGTTCATTAAAAAAGTTTAAGTTAAGTTTAAAGTTAAAACTTAAAAGTTACCTTTATTATTTTTAACTTGTGAATGTTACAAGTTCATTAGAAAATAAAAGTAACTTCACTTAGTTAAATATCAGTTACTTTTTTTTGTCATACAAAATTAATAATTATACCTACGTACCTTTCTTTTAAAGGCAACAAATAACAAGGTAAATAATTCAATAAATGTCTTATATTTTTTAATAAATGTATGTATCCAAATTAATAACAGTTATTCCTTATATGTATAGGGTACTTAAACAACAAAATAATTAAATTATTTTTATGTATTTTTCACATTATATTCCTCAACTATACTAAATATTATAATAATCAAATTCAATATTAGAATATAATTATTTGGTTACACAGATCACAGCTCCACAAAATCAATAATTAAGGGGGGTGCACCGTAGCATATTTTAAGGAGTATTGCTTAGGCAATTCATGTGACATATAAATTAATACTGTATCTGTGTGTGAGTTGTAAATGAACATTAGTGTGCGTAATCCGTTATCGTTTCCGAGAATCGCTGCACGCCGAGTCGAAGCAACTCTCACACGCCCACGCACATGTCAATACTTCGCGAAAAATGAAATATAATATTGTTTTCATGACTATAAAACTACTAAAAGCGGTAGTAAATTAATCATACTTCCCGAAGTTCGATTTTAATTTCGAAAAAAATGGTTGAATTTATAAAGTTCTAGACTATGCTTCTTAGGAATCACTTTTTTTTATTTAAAATCAGATGTGCCCAAAATAATTACAAATGTAATACAATTATTCTATGGGATTTCTAAAAAAAAAATGGTTATTTAAAGGTCATTTTAAATTGAAAATTGAAAATCGATTTCCTAAGAAACCTAGATATTTTATCAATGAATTCAAACATATATAAAACATTTAAACCGGACTG